TTTGATGGTATTAGTACCAAGCAGCAGTCACTCCTAGGACATCCCATTAGCAACAGTTCTGCTGTGTTAAAAAGCCTCTTAGGACTTCAGCTCATCCTTCCAGCAGGCAAGACATTCCTGAAAGAGGCTTCTGGCTAGCTCTATTCTCAGCACCATAAATTGGGTGGCACACCACTCAGGTCACCTGGGCTAATAAATGAAGAGCTTTTACATTCCTACATTGCTTTAGTCAGGGACAATAGCACAAGCTGCAGAGAAACCTTACTGATCTGGTGGACTGGATCCAAGGGTAATTTGACAGCATTGGTATGACCATCTCCTGGAAATTCATTAAGACAGTAAAAAGCATAGGAACGGGAGATAGTACTGCGCTGTCAAAAGCAACATAGGCTCGGTTCCATTTCCCACCTTATGACTCACTGCAAAATAAGCTTTAAAGGAACTACAATATGACTCAGGAGGAGGATACAGCTGAAACAACTGCTTAGAACTCAAGATATAAAACTGTTATACTTCACTGATCCAGGGGACGGTGGGGCTCGGGCTTCAGGCTTAAGCCCTGGGGTGGTGGGTGACAGGCTCTGGCCATGCAGCAGCAGCAGGCTGCTCCATCCCACAGCCGCAGGGCTCCAGGCTCACCCCCTCCCCCCACACACACCCCTGGCCCTGGCTACAGCCTCCAGTCCCCATCTGTGCACCAGGGCCACACGCTCTCACTCTGGGCTCACCTCCCCCATCTCCCCTCCCATCTATCCTCCTACCCACCTCCCCATACAGAGCTTAATTTGTCCCCCAGCTTGAGTAAGTCTGCTGGGAAAAGTGAGATTTTTGTATAATAGTTAATATTATACAAAAATCTCACTTTTCACAGCAGACTTACTAGCTAGCAAGTTTTTTTTGTTTGTTTTTTTAATAAAAACACACACCCCACCAAAACATTCAAAGCACCTTGTGTTTCTATTCTGTTTAGGTCCAGTAATTAATAGACAACTGTACATTTTTTAATTGAGTCTGCAAAAAACCCTACATCAATTAAATAAATATGCATGTGTCCAAATCATTGTGTTTTTCCTAAAGTTAAAGTATTTTAGGAAAAATTGTCAGAGCAGCCACCAGCAAGAGTTGGTGGCCGCACTATGGGGCCACCCAAAAATTTGTTGTGAGAACCACTGCTCTAGAGTGATTTCAGTAGATGCAACCCTCAAAGCAGCACATGGAAACCAGAAACATGAAAGCAGAGTCCCTCCCCAGAAACAGAAAAACCTCTTCCCTAATCCTAATCTAGTTAGCAGTTGCATAACTACTGTCTCCTTTCCTTGTCTCCCCTAGTTACATATCCAACTCTTTATATGGAGGGATGCACAATTTGCTGCAACTGATGCAAAGCATTTAAAGGGCCACTATGTACTTTACGTAGTGACACCAGTAGAGAAAATAAGAACCAACCAACCTAAACCACCCTGGAGGGCTCATTCTCCTCTTCCGCACAGCCTGTTCTAACCTGTCAGTTGAACATATAGTGAAAAGAGGTGGGAGGGCATGAAAAGCCACCACCACAGATTGTTTAGAGTCCTTCAACAGCCTGAGGGCACACACACAGCCCCCATCTGAGTCAGACAGACTATGGCACACTGTTGCCATAAGGATCCCTCATGTTTTCATGGACAAAAAGGATGTAGTCCCAGTTACTACAACACAATGGTCACAGCTATCTCCAGGCAAACAAGCATAGAGTAGTCCCGCCCCCCAGAGACAGGACAGCACCATCTCACTACATGCAGAACAGAGCCACCAATTACAAGCTCCACATGTGCATACACAAGGGTCCCAATAGACACAGGAAGGATTCAGACTTCAAAGACAAGCAGAATGGATTCAACTTAAAACCACACAAGCATTACACAGGTTTCAGCAGACATCAAATAGACATCATTCAGCACAATGGAAGCTTACTCATTACACTAATCATAGCAGATGGAAAGACCTATTTGATCTTGCCAATCCACCTGTGTGGGGGGGGGGGGGAAGGCAGCTATACTACACTTAGAAAACACAGGCTACTTCGATATGAAGATACTATGTTTGATATGCCACCATTCTGTGCTATGTTACAGTGGCCATTAAAGCCCATGCATTTCCTGTATTCCTATTTGGATGAAACAGGGATACAAGAGAACAGCTCTCAAGACCACCATCTTTATTAGTCTATTTTAAGGGAAACTGCAAATATCCCCCTTTTCTTTCCCCCCACCCCCAAGACTGTGGAAGGAACAGGATGCTGTTTCCTTAAGAAAATATTTCCATTCAAATTCTGATTTACTCAGAAGCCCTGTTGGTAAGCGTGCGGATATCAGCTCATGACAAGGGTCTAACTATATAATGGCTTGACAATTCTCAGGAGACTGATAAAAGCATATTCTCCTGTCCCTTCTTACTGAAGATAGGAGAGCAAAAGGATAGAGTGCACCTATGAAGTCTCCAGCATTACTGTCAGTTCCAGTTAGCTCAGTAGAGTGCAATCAAGGACGTTGATAGAACTACAAGCTGCCACACTGCGTGCTTACATTAAATATAGGTAGTTTTTCCTAGGTACTGAAAACCAGGGGGCAGGGGAAAATTCACCATCACCATATGCTCAGAGGGGGAAAAAAATTGCAAATTCCAAGAACCAGTTTAAACAGGAGTGCCTATATTTTAAGTACTTAAAGTGCATGAAGAATGGAGCATGTTAAGTTACTTGTGTTGTATTTAGCAGTGGGGGGGGGGGGGGAGGAAGAGGAGATGATAATAATAATAATAATAATATTGCTCCATTTACAGTTCACACTGGCCTATCTCTTAGAGCTGGAAAGGACCCCGAAAGGTCATCGAGTCCAGCCCCCTGCCTTCACTAGCAGGACCAAGTACTGATTTTGCCCCAGATCCCTAAGTGGCCCCTCAAGGATTGAACTCACAACCCTGGGTTTAGCAGGACAATGCTCAAACCACTGAGCTATCCCTACCACTCATACTCCAAATACTGACAAAACAAGCATTCAAAGCAGGATGCCTTCAGAACAATTTAGAGTGGAAGGGAGTGATTGCAATGTTACTTTGACGACCAGGTTAAATTTTCTAGTTTTACTGTATTATATTATGCTTTGCACACATGCATGCAAATCCTTGACATGTCTTTCCATTTACAGAATCAGAGCATCTTTGTTACAGTCAGCAACAGGATGGAACACTGCTACTCTCTTTACATTTGTTCATGGAGCTGCAGAGGTTATGTACTATACATAAACAGCACTGAAGTAGGCAGGGTTGACATTCTAAACACACACAACTTACACCCTTGATTTCTGGTTTGACAAGAGTTAAAATAGCCATATAGCAATGACAAAAACTAGTCCTTAACTAGCACACACTCTTTTTGCAACCATATGAGGCAGGAACAACAGGAGGTTTACCAAGCCCAAGAGACTTCGCTATAACACTTTAAGTCTCAACAGAACTACTGTGAGAGAGTATTTTATAATATATACAGAGAGCATACAGTACTTGGAAATAGTGCTTCTATTTTAAACTACTAAAAACAACACAAGCATATCAGATATATATTCAGTGACTGACTAGTGTGTTTTTTTCATAACAATCCAAGAACAGTTTCCCCAACCTACACTTTTCTCCTCTTCAATACTTCACACTCCTTGTTTCAGTACAGGAGGCAACTACCTCAGTCCAAAAAAGTGAGCTAAAGCCATTGGACATATGTAGAGTTTTGTTGTGGAATGTTTTTTAAAAAAAAACAACATCTCGATTTCTCCTCCAACCAAGGAAATTCAGATGAGTGAAGAAGAGAAAGACCAAGGTTGAAGATCAGAAGACAATTCTGCTCTCAGATTCAGAGACATTTTTGTTGCCACCTACCCACTTTATTAAAAAAAGGGACCCAAGAATAGTCTTTGCTATAATCAACCCTGCAATCTGAAGTTACTTAAAAACAAAAATATTGCTAGCTAAAATATTCCTATAGCATCTCTCTTTACAGTAGGCAAGCACTGCTTAGATGCCTTCCCATTTCTGCATTATGGTATTGTGGTGCCCTACAGAACTAAGTATATTCAGTGAAGCAAAATGGTGTTTTCAAAGCCAAAGAGCGTGGCACAATGAGGTAGTTGAATCACTGCAGCTCCAGTCTAAGATGGCAGCAGAGAACACAGATGTTAAAATACACAGATCCACTCCACCATCATTCTAATTAGACAGCAAGTCACCCAAGTGCAGGTTAAGCAACGCAAAGGACACAAGTATCCTGCCAGTGTCTCCTCACACACTTGGTCCTATGTCGCACCTAAGCCATCTGTTGTCTACCAAGCATTTTAGATGGCTTCAGAAAGAGACACTGAACATTTCACTGAATCCCAACAAAGGCAGGGTGCTGAGCTATCTGAACCACCGCTCCAATCCTATGTAGGATGGGATATTTTGTACAAAGTGGCACCCCAAGTACCTATCATTCAGCCACAGGCTAGAAGGCAGCGCTTGTGCCTCACCTGGGCAGCTCAGCCTGCGGCAGCGTGACCCTTCCAGCCCGAGGAGCCATCTCCCCATCCCCCTTTGGCAGCTGGGCCCGAGGGGCTGGTGTTTTACCCTCCCCCAGAGGAAGGAGAGCTTCAGCTGCTCTCAAAGCAACTCAGGGTCTGTGCTCATTGTTCCAGGGGCTAATCATTTCCTGCCTCTCTCCTGTGTGTGGGGGGGCGGCAGGGGGAGAGAGAAGAGATGTATTATAGACTACAGTCAGAGAAGGCAACCTGCCCCATGGCTGATCTACCCCCCCGGGGGGGGGCAGGATACCCTCCCCCACCTGCCCCATGGCGGATCTACCCCATGGGAGGGGCAGGGCAGACACCGCCCCCCCGTGGATCTACCCCATGGAGTGGGGGAGGGGCAGCACACGCCAAGCCGGGGGTGTCGGAGGAGAAATTGACGAGATCCTCCCCCCACCGCCGGCCCCTCACCTGCTGGTACTCGGCGTCCTCCGGGCGGAAGTCGGCGCTGGCGGCCTCCCAGCGCAGGCTGAAGTGCGGCAGGCGGTGCAGGAGACTCACCCACCAGGGCGGCGAGTAGCTGACCCCCGCCATGCCCGGCCCTGCCGGCCGACCGCTCCCTCCGAGACCCGAGCCGCGGCCCCCGCCTCACCCGCAGCCGCCTGTCGCTGCCATGGGGGGGGGGGGGGGAAGCGCCGCCGGCTCCGCTCTCTCGCGCTGGCTCCCCCGAATCAGGCGGCCGGGCCCCCGCGGCTCCCGGGCGGCGCCCTCCCCCGCATGGCGGTGCCGGCTCCGGCTCGGCCCAGGTGAGCGGCTGCCTCCCGTGCGAGCTCCGCGCTGCCAGCCCGGCCGCTCGCTCTTTGTTCGCGGAGACTCCCCCGCCTCCCCGGCTGGCCCCGCCCTCCCGCTTCCCATTGGTGCCGCCCGCCGCCGGCCACGCCCCCGGGCGCCCTCCGTGTGACGAGTGTGCGGGGTCTCAGCCCGGGGGCGGGGGGCTTCGCCACAGGCCTGTGTCAGCGACAGGGCATTGCCCCATCATCACACCAGGTCACTGCCCCATCACGCCATTCCACTGCACTGCCCCACACCGCTGCACCATCATGCCACTACACTACACTATCGCCACCCTGCCAGCACACCATCACACCACATCATTGCACTACCACTGCACCATACTGCTGCACCATCATGCCACTCCGCTGCACCATCGCCACCCTGCCAGTGCACGATCACACCACACCACCACATGCCACCACGCCACTCCACCATCATGTGGCACCATCACGCCACTGCACTGCCACCACACACCATCATGACACTGCATCACTATGCCACTGCACCGCCACATTGCTGCACCATCACATCACGTCACAACATGGCCACCATGCCAATGCATCATGATACCATGGCACTACTTGGCCACCACGCACCACCTCTTCACTGAACGACCACCACATACCCTCACACTGTGCATTGTCATGGCACTGCACCAACACCACACGCCAAACCCTGCATCACCAACACAAGCTGTGATGCCACACACCTTCATGGTACTTCTACCACCGTAGGATATGCACCAACATGGGCCTGCACCAGTGTTCCCTCTAATTTTTCCCACCCATGTCAGAATGAATTTTGTTACATAACAAAATTCATGTGACAGGGTGGGGCCGAGGGGTTTGGAGGGGGCAGGAGGAAGGGGCTGAGGTAGAGGGTTGGAGTGCGAGGGGGTGACGGCTCCAGCTGGGGGTGCGGGCTCTGGGGTGGGGCCAGGGATGAGGGGCTTGGGGTGCAGTGGGGCTCCCTGGGGCTACGGTGGGGAGAGAGGACTCCTCCCCAGCTCTCCCTCCCCGCAGCAGCAGCAGGTTCGGGGCTGGGTCAAGGCATCATGTCCCTGAACCATTATATGCCAAATACCATCATGACACTCTATCACAACCATTCACTGTTACTCCATATTACTCTGCAGATGTGCAAGCACCATCACCACCACGCTTCAGTGCGCCTTTCCACATCACCATGCCGCCGCCATTACATACCTGCAACTTCTCATCACATCATTAAGCTGCCACACAAGCCCGTGTGACATTACTTACTCATGTAATGCTGACATGTCTTTGACCTTGGCTTCTCTGACATATATACATAGCAATATATACTGAAAAAAAACCAACACAAAAAACAAAAACAAAAAAACTAAAACGCTACCCAAACAAGTTACTCCAGTGCACAAGTTTCTGCCCCAGGGAAGAGGATGAGAGAACAAACAACATGTCACAGATGTATAGTTACATTACTTAATGCACTACTGAAAGGCACTCAGATACTACCGTGATGAGCACAGCATAAGGAACCATGTAGAACAACAGGTGTTGCTATGAATCAGCATAAGGCACCATCATACGTTATGGAGAGCAATCATACCACTGTGCAACATTAAGCAATCTCCAGTTGTGGGATTATCACAAACACTCCACACCCATTCCAGAATTTTACTTTCTTCCCTAATGCCTCATCTACCAAAAAAAAAAAAAAAAAAAAAAAATACAGTTCCTAAACTCTCTAAATGGTCTACATTACAAAATGTAATGTCAGATTTTGAGAGGTATTTAGGCACCTAAATGTACCTAACTGCGTCTTCAAAGATCCACTAGATACCTAACCTATCCGCATCTTTAGGCACCTAAATACCTTTAAAAATTTGGTCCCAAGCACTCTGGGGCAGAGGCTGTCATGTAGTATATGTTTGTACAGAACCTAGCACAATGGGGCTCAACCTGGTTGACATCTTTAGTCATTACTGCTAGGTAAATATTGGAATAATAAAATCATCTAGTTATAGTTAAACCCCTGGTCAGCATATCAGCTAATTTGGTTCTTCACAATCATATTTGTGCACAATAACCTTTTGTACTACAGACAAGTCTAAAGAACAAATGTTTTAAAAGAGGAAGGATGGGGGGGACAGTACAATTTCCAGAATGTGTGCAATAATCCTAGAAAGTGACAGAGAAAGCAAAGAAATTGAAAATTAACTCAGAAATTACAAATACATCTTTTGGCTAGCAGGTTATTTAACAGTGATAGCTAAATGTAGAGAAGCCATCCTCTGCATCTCTTCCCACATCTTTCCTCCTACTCCCAATCTCTCCTCTCTTGCCCCCAAAATCAAACCTGCACAGTGCAGCTGATGCCTAAACCCACCTCATTTTACTTCCATCTGGAGCTGAGCTCTCTGCACTGAGGGAAACTAAAAGACGCTTAATCAGTTTCATTCTCTGTGCTAGGAGAGCTGTTCTTAAAACTCAACAGGAGCTAAAGTTAAACTGACTGTGCGCTCCTCATGTTCTCCCAGAAGAAGCAATACCAAAGTGCTCAGTCCTCCCACCCTTCTTGGGCAAGAAACAAAAACACAATCTAAAATGGTTGTATTGATTTCTCACCTGCAGTGCTGGAATTGATATTTTTCCCCCCAAAATAATCAATTTGAATTAGGTCAAAATTAGGGCTAACCTCTGCCAGATTCTCTAAGCAGAGTATTTGTATGTCAAGTTATTTGCCCCAGGTATGAAATTACAGATAGGAAAACAGTAGGAAAACAGTATTAGAATAATTAGATGGTCCTCAGAAGACAGAGAAGTTAGTAGTGAGATAGCTCAGGGATTGGATTCATGCCCAGTATCTGAATCAGTGTTGTTCAATATATTTATTAATGGTTTGAAGGGGAAAGTGGATAAACTGTTGATGAAGATTACTGACAATACACAACTATTTCGTTTAGGAAAAACTATGGAGAATCATGAGTAACTTCAGATGGATCTAAGTACATTAGGGAACCAGGCAGTACTATGAAAGATGATTGTAAACTTTCATAACTGTAATGTAATTAATATATTGGGCCAAATAATCTAAACTTGTGCATGGTGAGGGGTTCTAAATTTGCAGGAGTGCCTGAGGAAAGAGAACCAGGAACATATGTGAGAAATTCAAAAGTAAAGAGGATTGGATAACTGTGATCTTTAAGAACAAGCTACCTAAGCTTGTTAAAGGTTAACCCAATCTCACGTTAATTGCTTGCAAGGATCAGTAAAGAATGTCCTTTTCCCTTAAATACAAATGTTGTACAGCTTTTCACATTCATGTAGGTATATTATCTAGAGGAGTATTCTCTAGTTAGTTAATGATAGAAGCAGAATAGTGAGCTTGATGGAGTAATACCCTGATCCACTTTGACAAATATGTTCAGTATTTATACTTTTTCAAATGTAATATAGAGCTTTTAGTGAGCAGCAGGTATAGTATGTCAAACATAATACAGACGAATAAATAAAGTCAACAGTTTTGTTTATTCCAAATTGAACAAGGAGTTAATAGCATACCTCGTGTGGTGTACAGAAATGCACCAATATGGAACAATGAAGACAAGAACTCCAAGGGTATAATCCTGACCCCCCATTAAAGTCAGAGGGCGTTTTAATGTTGACTCTAATGGGGGGGGGTGTGTCAGGATTACATCCCAAGTATTTAGAAATAGGCAAGTGTAAAAAAGTATTAAGTCCCCATCCTACTTGTTTATTAGGGGTATTTATATGGCCCTCATCACTGTAGCATCTGAGCAACTCACAATCTTTAATGTCTTTCTCCTCACAACACCCCGTAAGGTAAAAAAGTACGGTCAGCCCCCTTTTCCAGATGGGAAACAGAGACACAGAAAGACTTACCCAGAGGAAGTCTGTAGCAGAGCAAGGACTTGAACCTGCTAGGTATCGTAAGTTCTCTCCTGAAAACATGTAAACATCTTAACTTTTGAAATTCATACCCACTTTTCTATCCTCCAAACCCATTCAAGAGTTTCTTTTTTTTTTATAGTCATAGATTCCAAGGCCAACACGAGCCATTTTGCTAATCTTGTCTGACTTGCTGTGAAACACAGGCCATAACACTTCCTCAAAATAATTTCTACAGCACATTCACTCATTCGGGTTCCCATTGTCTTTCCAGATCTTCCATTGATATGGGTGGGTTTCAGTCAGCCCTTTAACAACCCATTCATACTACCCCAGTCAGTTATGTGACACAAATACCTCATGTCTTCTGCTCTGCCCCAAGAGCAACTTTTAAACTTTCTAGCACCACTGGGTAACAAGCTCTAGTCAAGCAAGTCACTGCCATTAATATAATTAATAAAAATATTAGAGAGGATTCCCACTTTGTCACATCTTTTCCCCTGACACAGAACCAAGCAGGGTCACTTTAACCAGTCACCCGGGAAGTTCAAACTCACAGTTGTTATCACTGGATGCCCAAACCAATTTCCCATCCCCTTGGTAGCTGTCCTACTAGGCACTTTCAAGATTCTTACAGCAGAGTTTTCACAACGCAGGACACAGCAGTTTCACATTCTGCCTTAGGTCTTGAGATGACACTAGCAGCGTGCACATGACATGCTCTAGATCAAAAGGAAGAAGTTCTATGGCCTGTGTTTTACAAGTCAGACTAGATGATCACAATGATCCCTTCTAGCTTCAGAAACTATGAATCCAAACAAATTTCTGGCATTCTTTTGGTTCTGATCCAAAGCTCATTGAAGTTAATGAAAAGATACAAATTACATGGGCTTTGAACTGGGCCCTTAATTTGATTTGGTGGACAATCAGTACATAAATCAGACCCTTGCATTAAATAAACCCCTAAGTATTTAAGTACGAATTGACTAGATTATGCATAACACATCAGATCATGTGTTGTGCTCTTAACAGAGCCATTCATACATTGTGACTTACCTAAGGTCTACAACCTGATTAAGCGGAGGGTCCTTTCACATTCTCTAACAAACACAAATTAAACAACACTATTTTTAGTTTCAAAAAGTAAGAAGTGGAGTGTATCC